CCACAACTGAAAATCGGAAGTAAGAACCGTCGTTGGCTTGACCATATAATGACCCAAAGCGCCCTGATCACAATGTGCTGCAAGAAGGTTGTACCGTGTCCTGAAAGATCGCACCTCTGGCCATGCGAAAAATGTTGGAGAAGCTAGGCTGGGTTGACCTTCTTCTGCAACATCTTCCCTGCACATAACTGAACAACCAATCTGAGAAAACTTTTGCCCCACCAATTCTGGATCTTGCGGACTCTCCAATGCGAAAAACACACCAGCATGTACCGAAGAGGATTGCTCCAATGACAAAGCTTTTCGTGCCTGAACAGCTGTCTCAAACAGGAATAGCACCTTCAAAAACAGTAGGCCGTCTTTCTTAGCCAGTTCCTCACTTGAATAGCTGAGCCCATCCTTCCAGAAACGCCCCTCATCACACCTCCCTCGTAGCACTGGTGGTCCACCGTCCTCAACACCCCTGAACTGAGCCACAGTCTCGCATGGCGGGCCACCTACCACTGCAACGACCTTGCCCTCAATGGCCAGCGAGAGGATGTACGTCCACACGGAAGAAGAATGAAGGTCAGTACGAAAATCCACTTCTAGAACTTCGCCACAACTACTTGGTAAGTCCAATCGCGGACCGCCTGAGTGCAGATGAACGATGACGCGTCTGGTTTTCTTTAATCGCCGTCTTTTGTGACGATTGTAAAGCAACTCCCCCACTCCCGAGGCAGGAAGAAGATCCACAAGCATCGATTCCGGGACATCAGGATAGTACCAACGCAACCAACGCCAGCATGCCTGAATAAAGTCATCTTGATTTCCACTACGCATAGCACCATGAAGACACTCACGTACTGAATGTTCCGTGTCTGCAGATGGACACCCTTGAAGCGCACGTACAGACTGCAACATGTGAGCAACCCCCTTTTGCTCCATTTCATCAATGATTCGTAGAGCAACCGCCTCAGCAATGCAAGGACAACCATTGACCGTCTCAACTTCCAGAGGGCCCAGTATTGGATGCGTAGCCGTACACTTTCCTTTGCGCCAACGAACCTGAAGACCAACCAATTCGCTAGCCTTGCCAATCGGAACCAAAGGATCCACCCGCTCGCTTGTAACTAGAGTACCACCATCCGTGAGCATCATTTCCTTCTTGCCCAAAGCCAAAGCCACAGTCACCCTTTTTGTTGGTAACGGCTCCCCCGGACGCAAGGATCTCAAAGGATGCGAAGCCCCAGAATCAAGCAAACCCACACCTTGTGTACGGCCATGGACCCCATCCACCCGAGCAACATTGAGAAAACCAGATACCACGTCCTCTTCAGATCCAGCGATAGCCTTAGAAGCAGCAGTTCCTTGCAGAAGGTCGTCAATTGAAGACCCTGACCCCCCCCTAGCTGCTGCATCCCCCAACGCCGTTTCCAAGTCCGCAATCATGTCTAAAGCCACCTGGCTATCGATCACAATGCGGCCATCAAGGACTTGGGCTTTCAAGTCACCCTTCTGAGGATGTACAACCGTGCACCGACCGTCAATCACATCAAAGTCCACATGAAGATGCGAATGAGCAAGATGAAAAGGAACTACAGGGCAAACAGTTTCACGAGTAACCAATGTTCCCACCGAATTGATAAGCATGTGCGCGCAACCAGTGGCCAATGCAACTTCAACAGAATCTGTTGGGACAGGTTCGCCTGCCCTCAGCGTCCGAATAGCATGAGAAGCGCAGGTATCCAACAACCCCAAATTCTGCCCCACAATGGCCTCATCCACCACAAGCTTTTTGGCTGAAACACCCCCGCTGTTTGCCCCAGACCCTTGCGACAACTTAAGCGACTTCAAGATGTCCAAAGCCTCTGCCATCACGCGTGAATTGTCAGATGCCGTCGAAGAAGAAGCAACATTACCCGCACCAGAACTACCAGTATGTATTGAAGCCTCCTCCGTTGCCGTAGCTGACTTAGCCGTGGCCTTCGCCTTCGCTTTTGCCTTTGCCGTTACCAGTTTATCCATTTGCTATTTTGTAATCGGAGAATGCGAAAACTTGCACCGATCCCCAAACTGGCAAGACTTGTCCAAATGAAAGCCCCAACATGGAGACTTGCCCCCTGGTCCTGACTCAGATTCCCTCGACTTGCCTTTCCCCTTTCCAGGTTGATCCTGTGCTCCCGCTCCTGACGGCTCAGATGTTGTGGATGTTGATGTTGTAGCTGTCGTGGCGGCGCGAGCGGCTGCTTTCGCCTCAGCCCTCGCCTGAGCCTTTGCAAGCTTAGCCTTCTTTTTTGCACCACCATCATCATCACCAGTACTGTGTAGCAAGAGTTCCAATTCAGCTTGAAGAAAGATGGCTAACTCCCCAACCGTCAAGGATGTTGGTGAATAGTCTAGCCCTTTCCGCTCCCGAAAAGTCGCCACCCGAAATAAAACCGTTGGATGTTTCGAAAGCACTGCAGAAACCATTGTGTCAAGACCTTTCACTAAAAGTGTAGCATCCGGTTCAGCTGCATGTAGTTCTTTCAATCGCGACCTCCATTGCACCCACTGTCTGACTCCCTTGATCGCCTCCTGCACTGAAGTAGCCGAGGTAGGTGACACCAGATAATGCAACATTGTGCCTCTCTCATGGGCGCCGCCCGGTTGGTATACCGTAAGGAGTTTGAAGAGAATCTGGGAAGGGGACATCCGTCTTGTGGCTACAATATCTGTCTTTACAACTTCAGGAATCGCCTGGAGCAAGAGAATTGAAGCCCGTTGTTCCAATAAGATGTGCTGTGGCATGTGCGTACCATACATCTCTAACTCCGCCTGGATGCCAAGCCGCTCTAATGGTGACACCGAGAGCCACTTAGTGTACGCGCGCGAAGCTCGATCAAAGGTGTAGTCCCACCACACATGGCCCGAATCTGTCAAACTAGAAAGTGTAGGCTTGACAATCGCCAACCAATCACCCAAAGCTGTAGGATTTGATGCGCTGTATTCCGATAGAGTTGGCAACGACATGACATGTTTGCCCAGCACCTCTGGACGCTCCACGGTATGCCCCATCCCACTCGCCACCTGCGGAATAGAAGACGACGGACCTGGATGAGGAGAAGCAGCAGGAGTTAAAGCCACAGGAGAAATATCCAAAGTACCGTTGATCACCCGCCACTTGTAAGGAATCCCAGAAATCATGGTGACCCCAGCCGCTGCTTCACTGGATGTGTGATCCCGAGACACCGAAGTTGCAGGAGCAGGACGTCCGGGTGATTGACCAAAGGTTGGAGCATTGTCCGCAACCGAACCCCTAGCACCACTCCCACCCGAACCCCGAGAATCCTGAAAAGGGAAAAACGGCTGTACAGGATGCTTTTGGTTGGCACTACCACTCAGACTACCAACTACTTGCCCCAACGATTGCGACCCGGGGCCCTCAAAGACCTCTGGCCCGATTGAAGAGCTGGCGTTCCTGTGTGGCACATCCACCCTCGCTGCTGACGGTATCGCGCCACTCAGGATCCCCTGCCCCTCCACCGAGCTAGAGATCTTTGGTGGCACCATCAAACCAGGAGTAGATGCACCCACGACTTCATGAGCAGCTAGCGCGCGATCCCTTGCAAAGCTCCCCTCCTCTAACTCCGCCATGTTAAAGATCACCGCTCCAACTGGAATTCGATTCTCATCAACCCACTCCCACTCACCAGCGGCTGTGAAATTCCAAATGGTTCCCAATGCATCCCGATAATACTCCTTTCCTTCAAGAATAACCGCACTAGATTCCAAAGGTCTTTGCACATCCACGTCTGATGGAATGCTTGTCGTCGGAGCCTGCAAACCTGGAGGATGCTGTGGAACAAACTTGCCCAGCGACACTGTCTCTACAGACTTTCCAGAATGTATCGAGCCAAAACTTCTCTCTTCTACTCTCTGCATTCTCTCTGATAGTTGCGCTTGGAATTGCGCTTGGCTTTCCATCATAGTTTGCAACAGAGTTTCCAAGCGGCTCAAGCGTCCCAGTTCCGGTTGGTCTGGAATCAACTCTTCTTCTGTTTTATCTGGTTTAATCGTAGTTGATGAAGAAGGCGTGGCGGCTGGAAGACCGTCCACCGGCTGAACTTCCCTACTCCCGCGATCCAGGGCTGACGAAGGCAACGGTTGTGGAACTGTTGGGCGCCTAACGGGACCATAACTAACTGGATTACCTACTGGAACCGTTACCCCCGCATGCCCAGCAACGCTTGAGTCTTCCAAGGGTGGTAAAGTTGCAGGTCTCATCTGCCGAAGTTGGGATTCTGTCCGCGCTCGCTCACTCCAAAATGCATGTGGTGTGCTTACAGACTGCATCTCATGACTGCGAGCCACTGCGCTTGACTGCATCTCTTGATTGCGAGCAGTCACGCCTGACTGCATCTCATGACTGCGAGCGGTCACGCTTGACTGCATCTCATGACTGCGAGCGGTCACGCTTGACTGCATCTCATGACTGCGGGCCACTTCACGACCATATAACAAAGCAGGAGCAGGCCCAGCAGAACGCGAACGACGCATAACAGGATCCATGGCTTAGCACAGGGGGAACCGCGTTTGGGCTCCTAACCTACGGGGTAAAATCCGCCCTGAACCACACCAGAAAAGCCCTGACCCTGAAGCCCCGAAGCCGAAAACACCCTCAAACCCGGCCGGAAAACAATCCCAATCCCTACAACCACACAACCTCCCTGAAATAAGGACTAGGGTGACCCCAAAGAGGTGGGGAAACCACTCAAGCACAAACAAAAACTTTTAAACCTTGAGCCACGTGTCACGTTGGTACACTTCTCGATGTACCTTAGTGTGTCATCCTTGCGCAGGGCGAGACAATGCCATGCGACCTGATTTGTGCGTGTCTTCTTACGCAGGGGCTTTGCTTGCAAGGCCCTTGCCTCGCATAGGATTTAGGGTTGGGGGGTTTAGGGTTTATGGTCATCCCATTTTTGCCCGAAATTTTCACAGAAAGTCGAGGGCGGCGTGAAAACCCAGCCCAGGAGATTCAACCTTCGGATGACGGGGAACAAGTTCCTTGGCGTTCTTCTGGTTGGCTCTCAGGACCTTAATTTTTTGGGTTTCTATATGAACCATACCCTAAACCCTAAGCCCTAAACCCTAAACCGCTAAAAGTTTATTGTAGGAGGGGTTCAGAAGTCAGCCAAGGTTCGATGGCAACTACGCGACAGAGCCCACGGCTGGAGCTGTGCTGCGCTTCTCGCAGCTTTGCCTTGGGAATTGGTGGTTACGTCTGGAAAAAGGGTTACTTGGAGGGTCGGGGGACTTAGTAAGTAGACTTATAAGTACCTTACAAGGGACCCACTTGGGATTATGGTACTTTTAAGTCCCGAATATAACCACTTACTAAGTCCCCCCCAATCCTCCAAGTATTAGTCTGGAAAAAGGGTTCCTGTTTCCATGCACGGTTTCGGGTTAGGGTTTGGGGTTTAGGGTTCCAAAGAGCCAGTTGAGGCAATGTTCCTCCAGTTCCGTTTTCACACGCAACAGGATGGTAAATCCCATGTCGAGGCATGAGATTGAGGCGGGGATGTCTAAACACCTGTGAACACACACGATGTTTCCATGTTTCCTGAGGGGTGAGAGACCGGAGCCCTGGTTTGAGTATTGTCAGGTGGTGGATGAGGCCATGCTGAACGCCAGTCATGTCTGGTGGGGCACTGTGGATAGGGAGGCGGCCCTGCAGCGTGTGTTGCCTGCAGAGCTCGTAGTTATTGATCCCATTCTCAGGGAGCCCGGCTTTAGTTGCGAAGCCGTATCCAACTGCTCCGGCAACGGGATCTGCTCTCAACCTGACACTTGCTTGTGCAACTCCGGATGGACTGGCGAAAGCTGCCAAGATGTTGACTGCCCTGATGTCCTGCAGTGCAGCGGACGAGGCGATTGTGTGGCACCGAACGCTTGTAATTGCTCCAGCGGTTGGCTCCCTCCTTTCTGCGCTCGCGCAAGCTGTGATTCACTTTCAAATTGCGGAGGCTACGGCCGAGGTGTGTGCGTGCAACCAGACACATGCAGCTGTCGTCTTGGCTACGCCGGAGAAGATTGTTTATCATGTGACCATGCATCAGGCTTCTACGGGACAGGAGGCTTTACTGGAACTTGCTTGCAGTGCCCTCTTTGTCGGAACGGAGGCACATGCCATCCGATCTGGGGCAGTTGCTCGTGCCCATCGAACCTCAGCCTTAGCGGCTGAGTAGGTAACCTTTAACCTTTTGGGGCTTATATAATCCTACCATAATTTAAAAGGTTAACATTTTTTGGCTAGGATACTCGGCCCCTAAGGAACTATGCGGGGAAGCTCTGCGAGCTTTGTGCGGAGGGCCGTTTCGGGGAATCTTGCGAGGTGCTGCCAGCAGTGAGAGACGTGGCTGCTTGGCTGTTTTCCGTACACTTCGAACCTCTAAACCCTGAACCCTAAACCCTATAGACCCGAATCAGCCCGAGTTTGTAGTTTCAGCTTGTCTGGGCTTGCCAACCGGAAATTGAGGCACCAGCAAAAGGCCCGGATCTGGGCGGCTTTGTTGTGACTGCTCCTGGACTTAGCTGAAGAACACGACTATGGTTCCCTAAAATTTAGTTCGTCTTGCTTGTAATCAGGGTTTAGGGTTTTAGGGCTTCAGGGGTTAGGGTTTAGGGATTTAGGGTTTAGGGCTTTAGGGTTTTTGGATTTCAGGATTTTAGGGTTTCCGGATTTTAGAGGCTTAATTGTAACCCAAACAAAACGCACGCCCAGGACCCGTGAGTCCGGACGTAAACTTCAAGCAAAAAACATCCGCGAAGGTTCGTGGCTACAACTTCCCGGAATCTCCGGATGGCAGGATTCAGTGCCGCTTTGGGAATCCTTCAAGCTATGCAGTGGCCGTGAACGCGACCTGGGTCAGCAACTTGCGTTCAAGAAGCAAGCGAACTTGTTTCAAGTGTACCTTATGCGCTTGCAGTGAGTCGGAGCTTGCAAACCCTGTAAGGCAACTACACTTTGCATTGCGAGGTTCCTCGCTTTGAATCTCCGGAAGGCCCATCTGCGACAGCTCTTGTGGTGACCGTGGCTGGCGAGCCTGTTGTGCACGGACCGCAGCTCATCTTTGAATACACTACTAGCTGCACCGAAGATGCCTGCGGTGGCAGTGAAGGACGAGGCATTTGCATCACTCGCATTTGCAGCTGCCTGTTGCCCTGGTCGGGGGCTAATTGCTCGCAACAGCTCGTCCAGCCCAGCATCGACACACTACTGCCCATGAGCATTGAGGAGGGCGCCTCATTCTCAATGATGCTCTCGGCGCCTGTGCTTATGCCTTTGTTGTGTGTAACTTCAGGCCGTTCAAGCTGGTTCCACTGGTGGTTTTGTGAATTGAGTTTAATAGTTATTAGATGTCAACAATAGTAATAATATTAGTGTTTATTTTTTTGTGTCATTCCGGTAATTATAACTAGCCATTGATATTGTGGGAGCTAAGGAGCCAGGGATAATGTAATCCCTAGTAAATAAGGAGCTAAAGAGCCAAGGGAACCCCCAAAACCACTGGTTAGATAACTGTGCGTGTTGTCAACAGAAAACCGAGGCCCAGGGCACCGGCCCCATTTCCTGGCTGCTGGTGGAGGGGCCTCCCGGCATCAGCCTCGACCTTTCCGGAGAACTCATCTGGCCCAAAGCTGTAGTGCCTACTGCCATGGACCCTTGGGACGTTTGGAGGCTTTCCGTAAACAGCTGTGGTCTCAGATAGTTTAGTCACCAGAACTACTGTGTGGCTACTTGGAGGCTCATGGGTAGTCATAAGTACGGTTACAAGTCCCCTAACATGGGTTACAACTGTAGTTACCCTACTTATAACCCCACTCTTATAATTACCCATAAACCTCCAAGTAAGGAGGCTCAGAATTCCTTCGCCTGGCGAGTGGAGGTGCAGGCGGTGAACCAGCTTGGCGAGGACACTGCCGTTTTCCTTTTAGAGGTACGCCCGAGCTACTCCGCGGCAGTTGCTGTCGATCTTGATGGATCTCCCAACCTCGATGCGGAGGCCACCATGTTGGACGGAGGCTGGCCAGTGCTTCTAAGGGGCCAGGTGTTGCAGGAGGCTTTCCACTTGAGCTTCTTCGAGGTGACTGTTTGGATCGAGGTCGCGAACGTGCAGGGCGAGCGGGTCAGGAGAACACAGACCGCCATGGCGTCAGTGTTTTCGGGGGGGAAGTTCCAAGTCTATTTCACCCCGCCGCTCTTTGAGGGAGGCAACTATGCCATCGGTGCAATGCATCCGGCTCTTACAGAGATGGACGAGCCGGGCTACAAGGCGCAAGCCAACTTCTCCGTTGCCGTTTTGACTACATCCCGGCAGGGTGTTTTCCTCGAGGCAGGGGAGCCGGCGAGCTGGGAGTTTGACTTGCCAGAGCTGCTCCTCATTGGCGATTCTGTCCATGCTTCCGTGGAGGCGGTGTTCATGCTGGACAACCGTGGGGATACCTTGGTATCCAACCTCACCGTCCAGGCAGTTGATTGGCAAAGCAGTACTTCGCAAGGGATCGGCTTGCCATGGCAGCTTGCACTTCACGTTTCTGCAGAAGCAGAGCTCCCAGCTCGATCTTCCCTGCCTGTCAACATGACATACCAGGCAAGAGGCGCTTTCGATGGGCTCGTCGGCCTCCGTTTCAGCAGCAATGAAGGCTTGATCTGGGATGTCGTCCTGCGCTTCAGCATCAAAGAGACCCAGCCAGACTTGCAGGCTTTTCCAGTCTCTGTGCGGGTTCAGGCCCGGCGGGGGGTGGTAACTGTTGGGACCCCGATCGCGATTAGCAACGTCGGCTCCGCACCAGCCACGCACTTGGTGGCAGCAGGGTTGCGTATCAGAAGACTTAGGACTTCGGGTTTGAGGATTCCGGTTCAAGGTCTCAATGTCTTGAATTGTCGTTTAGTGTCGCCCTGCAAGCCGGGGCAGAGCAGCTGTCAAGCAGAGGTAGAATTGCCGGAAGACCCACTTCTTGTCGTCGTGGCGGCGGTTGACTCGTACATCCCTGCCGGAGCTTCGTCCCAGCTGCTGTTGGCATGGGCCCCTCCTGGTGCCTAGGATCTTTTCGGGGATTGGGATTTGCATTGCCTCACGTTGAATCAGACTTCTTTATGTTGGCCTCGTCTTGGGGTTTCGATCAACCAAGGTGCTGAGGCACTGCTCACACATTCTGGCAGCTTGGTGGTAAGGTCTCTCAATGATTCAAGCGTTGCTGTTAGCATTGCCTATGAAGCCGTGATTGTCTCCACGAGCGTCACTAACGTCAGCGTCTACGTGCAAGATGAATATTCCTTTTTTGACGTTGATGGCGGCTATCCCAATGTCACAGGGGCCCAATGTGACATGTTTCTACCGCGACTGCAGCTAACGCTGCGAAGCACGACCGATGCAAGTGGCCTGGCCCTCTTCAGCGATGTCCAAGACGACCATTGGTCACTACGCTGCCAGGCTTCGAAGCACACGCCAGCCTCTGAGATCTTGGTGGTCTCTGGTGGTGAGCTGACGCATAGTGTGTTTTTGTCGCGAAACGCCGTCTCCTACGTATGGACCGTCTATCCAACCGAAGTCCAGGACGTCTACACGTTCACCCATGAAGCTACCTTTGAGACTCTGTCGTAGTTGGGTAACATTTTACATGTTTATGGGTACTTAAACCCAATAAGGTATAACAATTTGAATTTTTAATCCTATCCCAACCATGAGCTAGGAGACGCATGTGCCTATGCCAGTCGTCACTGTGGATCCATCAGACCCTTAGTTAGGTGGGCAAGCTTTTCTTAAAATGTACGGCGAGACCGCAAGACAAGCAATATCTTTTGGTTTGGGCACACCTGTTACTATAGGGGCCTTAATATCTTTACCTATACTGTTTTGGGGATACTTATAAGACGTATAGATGGGCCCCAAAATCTTGTTCTAATTATTTACACTCCTATATTAGACAAGGTATGGCCGGTCGACTTGATCCTTGTGGGAGGGCTCCCACATGTGGAGGTCAGCATTACGAACCACGGACTCATTGCGACTGAAACCTTCGACGTTTTCTGGCCCGACATACCTGGTGTCAACTTCATCTTTCCGGCAGGGCCACCTCCAGGCATACTCCGAGCTAATACCACAGTAACGCTGCCGGTGGACATCCATGTCTTGGAAGCTAGGTGGCACTTTGGGAAACTTTTAATTTTCCCTTCCCTAAACCCTTATAGGTTCCTTAAAGGAACCCTTTAAAGGTACCTAAACCCTAAACCCTCATAGATTCCTGAACGGAAGCCTCCAAAGGCCCTAAACCCTAAACCCCTGTTAAGGGCCCCAGAACTACTTAAAGGATCATGGGACTTAGTAAGTAGGTTATAGTTGAGGTTATAAGTCCCCTAAGTGGGGTTATCCTAATTACAACTTACTTATAACCTTACTTACTAAGTCCCATGATCCTGTAAGTACAAGCCAGGCAGGCAACGCAAGCAATCGGAGGCTTGGATCCTCCAGTGCCTCAGCAAGCACAATGGAAATTTAGGCACTGCCATGTGGGAGTTTCCGAATTCAGGGGACCCTAATATAGTACCCTAAATAATAGGACCCTTATTATAAGGACCCCCCAAAATGAGGTACCCCTAATTTTCGGAAACTCCCATGTAGATTTAGGGTTTAGGGTTGCATGTGGGTGATTGTCAAAACTAGGGTCCCTTCTTGGGTCCTAAGTTTAATACGGCCAAACCCTAAACCCTTAACCCTAAAGGGTACCCAAACAGGGACCATCATTTTGACAAGCCACCAATGTTGCGAGTAGGAGTACCCAGAGACTCCAATATCCCTTCATTAAGGAATATACCTTAAAGTATAGTAGGATCCCTAATATGATTTAAGGAATACTCCTTAATTAAGGGATATTGGAGTCTCGAGTAGCCGAGCTCCCGAGCTTCCTGCAATCACTTCGGGCAGCGGTCAGAGCCCTAAACCCCAAACCCTAGGGTTTTAGGGTTTTAGGGTTTAGAGTTTAGGGGTGAGGGTTTAGGGTTACTTGGAGGGTCGGGGGACTTAGTAAGTAGGTACAGTAGTAAGTAGACTTATCAGCACCCTAAAAGGGACTTTAATTGGTGTTAGGATACTTATAAGTCTACAAAATAACTAGCTACTAAGTCCACGACCCTCCAAGTACTCCATCAAAGCCAAGGTTGCTTCCCGGCGGCCTTTGGTTTCAGCGTCTTGTGTGGAGGAGCGTCTCGCACGTCAGGCGGGCCAATCCACTTCACCAGCAGTGGACCTTGTGCTTCAAACAGTCCAGGATCCGGGGGGTACTTGGAAATATTTTCAAATATTGAGTGCTTATAATCCTAGGAAACAGCCAAAATTTTAATTTTTTTTGCAAGGGTCCCAAGTTCAGTGCAGGAAGCACAAGGTCTGGTCGCGGTTGGTTGCCTCCTGTTCGCAGGGGCCCTGGTGGGAGGAGCGGCGGAGGTCCGGTTTCAGGATCTAGGGGCTCGTCTTCGGCACAGTCAGGAGGGGGCTGCGACCCGTGCGACAAGGAAATCTTCAAATGTATTGCCAGCGTTGGATCAAGACCTCTAAAGGTAATCAGAGCCGCTATTTGCGTAAACGATGCCCTGGCCACGATCGATGCGAGCTGCCAGTCATGCACTGCGCACAAAGTACTCGGCTGCCTCAAGAGGGCAAGTCTTGCCACAGCGATTTTGCAGTGTGTCGTTGGCGTCGCCAACTCCTGCTTCGGTGGACAAAGAGGTGGATCGGGGGGGAATTTAGGCAGTCCGGGTGCTTCGGAAACTTCACGGAGGTTGGTGGCCAGTGCCATGCACCGTTTCGGCGGTCACCTGGCGCTAGAGTCACTGGAGAGGCGTTTGCAGTCAGGGTCTGTGCTGGCCGCTATGGAGGCTCTGTCTTATTGGGAGGAGGCTTTCTCAGCTCTTTCAAACGTTCAGCTGGAAGTGGGGACGGAGGCCGTCGTGGAGTCAGCAGTTGATGATGATTGGTTGCTGCTTAGATAGTGAACGGGGGAACTTTAAACTTTTTGGCCTTATATAGTAGCTCTTTCTTAGAAAGTTTGAGCTTTTTTGGGGCCCGGTTGTTGAAGAAGAGAGGCTCCAACTTCAGCTCTCCATGCGTGACACTTCCGCCTCCGGAGCTTTCCTGAGCCATGCGGAGGCCCAGGATCTCCGGGCGAGGGCTCCAAAAAGCGGATCTTCCCTAGAGTACCTTTGTCGTAGTTGGGTAACATTTTACATTTTTATGGGTACTTAAGCCCAATAAGGAATAAAACTTTAGATTTTAATCCTATCCCAACCATGAGCTAGGTACCTGCTGCAGCGATGGAACAACACCGCATATGCCAACAGCTTGGGGTTTCTGTCTCGGGCAGATGCAGTGGCGAACGGTCTGCCGGAGAACATGATCGACCTTTTCCTCATGAATGACAACTTAACTCTGTACCAGGAGCGGGCAAAAGACGCAAAACTCCAAGGCTACGCATCAGTTGCTGAAGCAGCCGATGTGGCAGGCAGAGCGCTGCGCGACGCCTTGCAGAAGAAGAGCGAGGGTATCTGCGCGAAAGTCCGCATCCGGTTTCTACAAGAGCTAGTGCTTACAAGGCAGGCTTTCGAGGGGCTGCTGGAGATTGGGAACGATGGTGGCTCCCCCATGGAAGAGATAGTCCTGACGATTTATATCGAAGACGAAGAGAAGCGAGGAATGGAGGAGAAGTTTGCAATTGGTGAGCCCACTGCAGGGGGAGAGATGCTCCTTCAGACTCCCGGAAATGCATCCTACTACAGTTCCAGCGCAGTGCAGACCATGGGTCTGCTGCCTGCTCAAGCACAGGGCACACTTAGCAACTTAGTAGCTGAGTGGACACACTTTACACTTTTGGGATAATATTACCCACTATAAAACTAGAAGTCTACACTTCTGGGGGCTATTGAACTCAGCAACTAAGGCATACTTATTATCCCCCGCAGGGAGGCGGCACCCAGGGAGACGAGGTACTATTTGGTTGGAGGAACCTTGCACCTTGGCCTTTTAAGGCCTACTTGGAGGTGCATGGGTGGTTATAAGTGGGGCTATCAGGCCCCTAACCCTAACATGGGTTATCATTCCAGTTGCCCTACTTATATCCCCACTTATTGCTACCCATGAATGAACCTCCAAGTAGAAAGCATTGGCTTGGGGCGGGCGGCGGGGCTTTGCCTGCATAGTCCGACGGCAGTAGACTTTGCTTCACGCTTGACCTACCGGTCTTGCTTCAGTGGGGACTCTAAACCCTAAACCCTAAACCCTAAACCCTAAACCCTAAACCCTAAACCAGGCACTACACAATAGATGGTCTTCGCTTGTCTTCGCCTCTCTATCCTGACAGCATCACGGTGCAACCCGATCCGGTGCTCACGGTGCGTTATTTCCACCAGCGGTACGTGCAGGCCGACGACCCTCTGACGGAAGGTAGGGGCTTCCCAACATGACAGTCCGTGCTGAGTTCTCTGCATAAGTGGAATTATAATTCCCGTAATATGAGTTATATTATAGTTACCCTACTTATACCCCCACTGATAACTACCCATGAACCTCCAAGTAGCAGAGCTGAGATGCTGCGCCAGGTGTTGAGCCGGCCGTTCCGTTTCTGGTCGCCACCACGATTGCCAACACAGGCTACCAAAACCCTAGCCCCTAAACCCTTGTCAAAACCCAAAGCCATAAGCCCTTGTCAAGACCCTAAGCCCGAACCCTAAGGCTACGGTGTTGCGCAGTCCATGCGTCTCACTTCAGCACAGCCGGACACTGGGCCAGACACGGCTTGAGGATTTCATGCTTCATAGCACTGCAGATGGCCTGGGTTTAGGGTTTTGGGTTTCGGGTTTAGAGCCCTAAACCCTAAACCCTAAAGCGGCGCAACCCAGGAGATTGTGGACAATGAAAAGGGCCTCTTGGTCACCTTCGAGATAGTCGAAACACGCTGCCCGTCTCACATGGAAAGCCGCCCTAAGCCCTAAGCCCTAAACCTAAACCCTGATCCCTACTTGGAGGGTCGGGGGACTTAGTAAGTAGGTAGTAAGTAGACTTATAAGTACCCCAAAAGGGACCCTAATTCGGGTTATGGTACTTATAAGGCCCTAAAATAACCAGTTACTAGGTCCCCCGACCCTCCAAGTAAACATCCTGGGAGCTTCCGAGTCTTCCCCGCAGTCTCTTTAGCCGCGTCAGGTGTCAATGGCGCACAGTCTCCACGTGCCCTCACTGCTGATGTTGGGGACCTTCTCCCGAACAACACCACGGTCATCGAGTGGCTAGTGCTTGCAAGTCTGAAAGGTGACCAGGCTGTTCAGTGGTACACTTCTTTACTTTCAGGTTTCTGGGTTCCTATTAAAAATCAGAAGCCTAAATAAGAAGCCTGAAAGAGTATATGCTTTTTCCCAGTGGGTTACTGAACAGCCTAGGTGAGTTCATTTCTTTGAACACCACCTTCGAAAACAAGAACCCACTGGGACTCCCCGAACTCTCGACGCCGGGGTGCAGTTATGCCAGAGTGCTTGGAGGGTCTTTAGGGGACTTAGAGATATAATGGGTTCCTTAAGGGCCCCTTTAAAGGGATCTATAGGGATTCTATAAGTTAAGGGTATAGGGTTTAGGGTTTAGGGTTTAGAGTGCTTGGAGGGTCTTTAGGGGACTTAGTAAGTAGGTAGTAGGTAGACTTATAAGTACCCTAAAGGCGACCCTAATTGGGGTTATGGTACTTGTAAGTCCCTAAAATAACCAGTTACTAAGTCCCCCGACACTCCAAGTGAGGTGGTCAGAACCGAACCTTCTAAACCCAAAGCAACATTCATATCAACACCACAGATCAGAGGTGGAATAAAGGATACCCTTGAATGTGTGGGGCTCTTCTAAGACCTTTATCTTCCTTTTTGGCTTCTTCCAAGGTTTGAAAAATACTCAGACTGTCTATATCCCCCGCGCTCCCCCAACCTTGAGGCCCCAAAGTAATTACTTCAGGACGCACGCCACAGATAGTTGCAATATTTACCCTAAGCCCTAAACCCTAAGCTCTACACCCCAAACCCCTAAACCCCCAAAGCCCTAAACCCTAAGCCCTAAACCCCAAACCCCTAAACCCCTAAAGCCCTAAACCCTAAGCCCTAAACCCTAAACCCCTAAACCCCTAAAGCCCTAAAGCCCTAAACTCTAAGCTTTAAACCCCAAACCCCTAAACCCCTAAAGCCCTAAACCCTAAGCTCTAAACCTTAAACTCTTATAGAATCCCTATACATCCCTAAACCCCCAACTTTAGGCTGGTGGAAGCAGTTCACAGCCACGACCTGGTCCGCAGCGTGCGCTTATCGGATGCAGCGGGATCCTGGAATGGCGTGCTCCTTGATTTACTTGGAGGGTCTTTAGGGGACTTAGTAAATATGGAGCTCCTTTAAAGGGGATTCTAAGGTGTCCTTTAAAGGCTCTATAATGTTACTATAGGGTTTAGGGTTTAGGGGTTCAGGGATTAGTCTTGATTTACTTGGAGGGTCAGTCGGGGGACTTAGAAATATAATGGGTTCCTTAAGGGCCCCTTTAAAGGGATCTATAACAATTCTATAAGTTAAGGCTATAGGGTTTAGGGTTTAGGGCTTAGAGTGCTTGGAGGGTCGGGGGACTTAGCAAGTAGTTAGTAAGTAGACTTATAAGTACCCTAAAAGGGACCCTAATTGGGTTTATGATACTTAAAAGTCCCCAAAATAGCCAGTTACTAAGTCCCCCGACCCTCCAAGTAGCGACCCAGAAGGAACATAAGCATAAGCATTTTATAGGGATATCCCTACCTTCTTGGGCTTGATTATAGGCGGGGTTTATATGGGATATCCTTATATCTTCATTTTTGCTTATGTGCTTTTGTGGGGCCCTGTTGATATCCATTCTTGTGAAGGTATAGGGTTCAGGCCTTGGGCCGGGTTGAAAGTTTTTAGGGTTTAGGGGTTAGGGTTTATTGTTTAGGGTCTACTTGGAGGTTCATGGATAGTTATCAGTGGGGTTATGAGTCCCCTAATATGGGTTATAGTTATAGTTACCCTACCTATAACCGCTTATAACTACCCATGAACCTCCAAGTAGAGCCCTAAGTCCTAAATCCCTATAGAACTCTTGAAGGAGCCCTGAGTATAGCCACTGCTTATAATTACCCATGAACCTCCAAGTAGGGCTTGGGGTCTAGACTTTGGGGTTAAGAAGTGTGGACCAGCGGTGCCTGGAAATGCCTGGGGCTTTCAATCGTTTCGGGGTTTAGGGTTTAGGGTTTCCTGTAAGCCTTTGCATGCACTAGCAGTGAGATCACCTAGCCTTGAGGAAGAGGCACACTAAACCCTAAATTTTAAAATTAAACCCTAAAGCCTACAGCCTAAACCCTAAACTCTCAAACCCTAAACCGTAAACCCTAAAACCATGCCTAAACACCACGGCTTTAGCATCTTCCAGGTTGGGCTTCTTCGTGAATGAGATCCCAGACAGCAAGTCTTTGCCGGACACGGTTTACAGCAGCGTGGAGCCTCAGCTGGGTAGTTGTCAAACTTAGGGCCCCTTCTTGGGTACCCTAAATATGATGCCGTATTATATGACGGACCCAAAAAGGGACCATAATTTTGACAACCACCCATCTGTAGTCATATCTTGCAGAATGAACGAATCAGTTGCAGGCAGCCGCACCCTCGGTTTCTTCAAAGCTCAGATTTAGCAACAAGGTGTCTAAAGGCATAAGTCCCTTCCCACGACGTGCTATGTGGTTTTTTGTTTTTTCTCCACTTCCTGAGCCCCGGAGCCCCAAGGATTGTGGCCCCGAAGACGGAGTTCGTGTGCAGCAGTTTGCCGGGCGCGGCCTTTTCATATCCGACGTCTCCGCCGATCGCCTTAACGTTACCGTCAACACGACTGCCCAAGAGAGGCTCAACACGACCTTCGTGTACTTGAACTTTGCACGGCCGCCTGAGATCTCAGAAGATAGCTCTTTGCTAGCAGCCTGCTGTGCGGGTGAGGCCCTCCACCCTGACAATGTTTGGGAGCACCATGATGACGATGAAGTGCGAATCCACATTTTGGATGAGGAGCCTCACTGTGACGAGTACACGATTCTTTTTGGTTTGCTTGAGCAAGCTGGCAGTTTGACGGCGTGCGGTGCTGCCAGCAGCAGCAGCAGCAGCAGCAGCAGCAGCAGCAGCAGCAGCACTAGCGTCAGCACGACCAGCTCGAGCTTACCATCGGCGCTGTCAAGCACACGGACCAGCGCAACAACGTCCCCAACATCCACAACGCGCACGAGCCACAGGACGACAAGAAGCACCAGCACTTCAACACCATCGCATGCGACGACATCATCTTCAGCTGTGTCTAGGCTCCATAATTTGTGGTTTCGTGTCGTCGAAGCCAGTCCACTAAACCAGTTACCAGAGTCAAGACCATGGGATCCTTTAAGTACCCTATCTCCCCCTTGTAGAACCCTTATAGATCCCTTAAACGAACCCTTTAAGGAACCCTAGTTACTAAGTCCCATGATCCTCTACGCGCCATAGCCTTTGAAGTGGGATTTTTTTTCGAAAATAGGGGTACCTTTAACGGGATCCTTTAATGGTCCCTTAAAGGGATCTATAAGGGTTTTTGTTCTATAAAGGGTTTAGGGTTTAGAGTTTAGACTTTCCGAAAATAGGGGGTGCCTTATTTTGGGGTCCTTATATTAAGGATCCTACTAATTATGGTACTATATTAGGGTCCCCTATTTTTGGGGACTTATAAGTACCATAGCCCCAACTAGGGTCCATTTTAGGATACTTGCTTACTAAGTCCCCTAAAGACCCTCCAAGTAGCCTTTGAAGTGACTTGATCAGACCACCACTACCACCATGGCGGCTACGTGGACACGTTCAAGCACCAGCAGTTCAAACACTGGTTCCTCCACGCTGACATCGTCACAGGACACGTAACGCTTTGGGTTGGGCTAGTGTTGTTGAAAGTGGTCTGGTATATGTGCCACAGCAGCACTTAAGTCCAATACCGCTAGATCCCTGCAGTATGTATCCGTAGCAAATCTGCACAGCATTCAAGCGCAGACCACCGCAACCGTGACTTCTACGTGGACGCGTTCAAGCACCAGCAGCTCCAACACGGGTTCATCAACGGTGACATCGTCACAGGACACGCGCTCGCAGACGGTTGGGCTTGTGTTGTTCAATATGTCTTCTTGTCTGATGTGCTCCGTATTTCGAACGAGCAGCTACTACCTGTAGCACAGAGCAATAGTATTGAGTGCATGCATGCTGGTGCTAACAGACCACCGCAACCGGGACTGCCACGTGGACTCGTTCAAGCACCAGCAGCTCCAACACGGGTTCCTCCACGATGACATCGTCACAGGCAGCGACATTCAACGTGCCTGCTTTTTGTGATCCCCCGTATGTCTTCTTGTTGGATCTGCTCTGTGTTTCTGCCATCTGTAGCATGGAGCAACAACGAAAAATGCATGCTGGTGCATATGCTAGGCATTGCTAGTGCATGGGCATTGCTTGTGCATGTTCAGACCACCGCAACCGTGACTGCTACGTGGACGCGTTCAAGCACCAGCAGCTCCAACACGGGTTCCTCAACGGTGACATCGTCACAGGACACACACACGCAGACGGTTGGGCTTGTTAAATGTGTCTTCTTGTTGGATGTGCTCCGTATGTTCGGGACTGCCACGTGGACCAGCAGCTGAGACGCAGACGGTTGGGCATATTGGAGTATGCAGCATGCTGGTGCATATGCTAGGCATAGCTAGTGCATGGGCATTGCTTGTGCATGTTCAGACCACCGCAACCGGGACTGCCACGTGGACTCGTTCAAGCACCAGCAGCTCCAACACGGGTTCCTCAACGATGACATCGTCGCAGGACACGTGCATGCAGACGGTTGGGCTTGTGTTGTTAAATATGTCTTCTTGTTGGATGTGCTCCGTATGCCGAACGAGCCGCTTCCCCCTGCAGCATGCTGGTGCATATGCTAGGCATAGCTAGTGCATGGGCATTGCTTGTGCATGTTCAGACCACCGCAACCGGGACTGCCACGTGGACTCGTTCAAGCACCAGCAGCTCCAACACGGGTTCCTCAACGATGACATCGTCGCAGGACATGTGCATGCACACGGTTGGGCTTGTGTTGTTCAATATGTCTTCTTGTCTGATGTGCTCCGTTTTCGAACAAGCAGCTACTACCTGTAGCACAGAGCAATAGTATTGAGTGCATGCATGCTGGTGCTAACAGACCACCGCAACCGGGACTGCTACGTGGACGCGTTCAAGCACCAGCAGCTCCAACACGGGTTCCTCCACGATGACATCGTCACAGGCAGCGACATTCAACGTGCCTGCTTTTTGTGATCCCACGTATGTCTTCTTGTTGGATCTGCTCTGTGTTTCTGCCATCTGGAGCAACAACGAAAAATGCATGCTGGGGCATATGCTAGGCATTGCTATAGTGCATGAGCATTGCTTGTGCATGTTCAGACCTCCGCAACCGTGACTTCTACGTGGACGCGTTCAAGCACCAGCAGCTCCAACACAGGTTCCTCAACGATGACATCGTCACAGGACACGCGCATGCAGACGGCCTCTGTTGGCCCATATCATATGCCTGCTTTGTGTGATTCCCCGTTTGTCTTCTTGTTGGATCTGCTTTGTGTTTCTGCCACCTGTAGTATGGAGCAACACCGAGAAAATGCATGCTGGGGCATATGCAAGTTGATGTTCAGACCACCGCAACCGTGACCGCTACGTGGACGCGTTCAAGCACCAGCAGCTCCAACACGGGTTCCTCCACGATGACATCGTCACAGGCAGCGACATTCAACGTGCCTGCTTTTTGTGATCCCACGTATGTCTTCTTGTTGGATCTGCTCTGTGTGTCTGCCACCTGTAGCATGGAGCAACAACGAAAAAATGCATGCTAGGGCATATGCTAGTGCATGTTCAGACCACCGCAACCGGGACTGCTACGTGGACTCGTTCAAGCACCATCGGCTCCAACACGGGTTCCTCAACGATGACATCGTCGCAGGACATGTGCATGCACACGGTTGGGCTTGTGTTGTTCAATATGTCTTCTTGTCTGATGTGCTCCGTTTTCGAACAAGCAGCTACTACCTGTAGCACAGAGCAATAGTATTGAGTGCATGCATGCTGGTGCTAACAGACCACCGCAACCGTGACTGCTACGTGGACGCGTTCAAGCACCAGCAGCTCCAACACGGGTTCCTCCACGTTGACATCGTCACAGGCAGCGACATTCAACGTGCCTGCTTTTTGTGATCCCCCGTATGTCTTCTTGTTGGATCTGCTCTGTGTTTCTGCCATCTGTAGCATGGAGCAACAACGAAAAATGCAGGCTGGGGCATATGCTAGGCATTGCTAGTGCATGAGCATTGCTTGTGCATGTTCAGACCTCCGCAACCGTGACTGCTACGTGGACGCGTTCAAGCACCAGCAGCTCCAACACGGGTTCCTCAACGGTGCCATCGTCACAGGACACACGCACGCAGAGGGTTGGGCTTGTTCAATGTGTCTTCTTGTTGGATGTGCTCCGTATTTCGAGCAGCTACCACCTGTAGCATAGAGCAATAATATTGAGTGCATGCATGCTGGTGCAAATGCTAGTGCATGTTCAGACCACCGCAACCGGGACTGCCACGTGGACTCGTTCAAGCACCAGCAGCTCCAACACGGGTTCCTCAACGATGACATCCTCGCAGGACACGTGCAGTGCATGCAGACGGTTGGGCTTGTGTTGTTAAATATGTCTTCTTGTTGGATGTGCTCCGTATTCCGAACGAGCAGCTACCACCTGCAGCATGCTGGTGCATATGCTAGGCATAGCTAGTGCATGGGCATTGCTTGTGCATGTTCAGACCACCGCAACCGTGACTGCTACGTGGACGCGTTCAAGCAGCAGCAGCTCCAACACGGGCTCCTCAACGATGACATCGTCACAGGACTGCGCGCACGCATACGGTTGGGCTTGTTTAATGTGTCTTCTTGTTGGATGTGCTCCGTATTTCGAGCAGCTAGCACCTGTAGCATAGAGCAATAATATTGAGTGCGCGCAAGCTGGTACACATGCTAGTGCATGTTCAGACCACCGCAACGGGGACTGCTACGCGGACTCGTTCAACCACCATCAGCTCCAACACGGGTTCCTCAACGATGACATCGTCACAGGACACGCGCATGCAGACGGCTTCTGTTGGCCCGTATCATAAGCCTGCTGTGTCTGATTCCCAGTATGTCTTCTTGTTGGATCTGCTTTGTGTTTCTGCCACCTGTAGCATGGAGCAACAACGAGAAAATGCATGCTGGGGCATATGCAAGTGCATGTTGAGACCACCGCAACCGTTCCTCAACGGTGACATCGTCACAGGACACGCGCACGCAGACGGTTGGGCTTGTGTTCGTATTTCGAGCAGCTACCACCTGTAGCATAGAGCAATAATATTGAGTTCATGCATGCTGGTGCATATGCTAGTGCCTGTTCAGACCACCTCAACCGTGACTGCTACGTGGACGCGTTCGAGCACCAGCAGCTCCAACACGGGTTCCTCAACGATGACATCGTCACAGGACACACGCATGCAGAGGGCTTCTGTTGTCCCATTTCATGTGCCTGCTTTTTGTGATACCCCGTATGTCTTCTTGTTGGATCTGCTCTGTGTGTCTGCCACCTGTAGCATGGAGCAACAACGAAAATGCATGCTAGGGCATATGCTAGTGCATGTTCAGACCACCGCAACCGTGACTTCTACGTGGACGCGTTCAACCACCAGCAGCTCCAACACGGGTTCCGCAACGATGACATCGTCACAGGCAATGCACATTCAGACGGTTGGGCGTGTGTTGCGACTTGAGATGGTAGGATCTTGGGCTAGTTGTGTTGAAAGCGTAAAGTTTTGGCACGTGCCGCACTGGTGCTTTAATGAGATACTGCCAGATTGCTGCAATCTGGAGCCGTAGCAAATCTGCATGGCATTCCAGTGCAGACCACCGCCACCGTCACGGCCACGTGGACGCGCTTAAGCACAAGCAGCTCGAGCACGGGCACCTCAACACGGACATCTTCGGAGGCGACGCCTCTGGGATATTGGGAAAGACCAAGCTACTTGGAGGGTCGGGGGGCTTCGTAAGTAGGTATTAAGTAGACTTATAAGTACCCCAAAAGGGACCCTAATTGGGGTTAGGATACTTATAAGTCCCTAAAATAACCAGTTACTAAGTCCCCCGACCCTCCAAGTACTTGTTCTTTTCTGGGTTTAGGGTTGTTCTGTTTGGAAACACCTCCCCAGGGCTTGTGCTGATGGTTTGATGTCCTTTGGTGGGCATGCTCAGAGTCTAGAATCTGGAAGCCAATGGGGTTTAGGGTTTAGGGAGCAGAACATCGCTTTGTCCATGAAATGCCATTTAGAATCCGCGTCTGATTAGGGATCTGGGGTTTAGGGCTTCCCATGTTGCCGGAAACCTCTTCGGGCAGAAGCATGACAGAGTTTTCCTGTGCCAGAGTCGGGGCTACTTGAAGGTGTATTCAAAGAATGTAGACCTCTGTAGCACCCTCAAAGGAACCTATACACCCCTTTTCAGGACCGTCATTCTAGCTATTAAGGCAGCTTAATGATAGGGGTTCCTGGACTCCCCAAACCCTCAACCCCAGACCCTACTTGGAGGGTCTGGGGACTTAGTAACTGACTATTTTAGGGACCTATAAGTATCCTAACCCCAATTAGGGCCCTTTTGGGGTACTTTTAAGTCTACTTACTACCTACTTGCTGAGCCCCCCGAGCCTCCAAGTAAACCCTAAACCCTTCCGGGACTTCGCACCATGACATCACTTTGTAAGAGAGTCTCTGTTTATGGTCGCCGTTAAAAACTGCGGGTGAAGACTTTTAAACTGAAAACTCTAACCCTGCACACTGTAGACGCTAAATCATGAAAACCCCACAGTAAACTCCTAAACCCTACACCCTAAACCCCTACACCCCTAAACCCTACCCCAAAACCCTAAAGCCCGCCGAAGCCGGAGGCCGACGTGATGACTTTGGGTGGGCCCAACCTCGCTAGGTATCTTAGGGGTACTTAGAAACAGTTTTTTTTAATTTTTGGTTATTATAATCCCTAAGAAACAGCTAAAATTATGATTTTGCTAGGGTTCTAAGTTCAGTATAGTTCTGACGGGAGACCACAGGAAGGGCTTGAAGGATAATGTTTAGGGTGTTTAATGTAGGAACCTGACTACGAAACCTTGGGTTGCTTATACGAATCCTACGTTTTTGGGGTTATAGGCCCAGGGGTTCTTGATCAGGTTCCTACATTGGGGTCTAAGCGAGCCCACCAGCGATGGGAAGGCTTAAATGCTTATCTGCAACGCGAAACCCAAAGTTCCCAAAGCATCGTGACCCCTACTGTTGATGATATAAATCCTGCATGAGCCTAAGGAACCTAAGCTATGGGAATTATGGCATATTCCAAAACATGGGCAATGCAGAATTTATATCATCAACAGTATGAGGTACAAACCGGTTCTGGCTTCCTCCTCCCGGTCCGCCACGGAGTACGCTGCCAAGGCCGGTCGTAAGTAAGGAACCGGATAAGGGATTGCTGAAAAAGGCTTCTCAAAAATATTTCTGCTACAACCCTAAACCCTAAACCCTAAACCCTAAACCTTAAACCCTAAACCCAAGGCTGTCGATGGCGATCAGGAATCGCAGTGGGCCTCCGCGCTCTTGAGCTCGCAGTGGCTGCACCTTGGATGCACGACTTGCGAAGCGGTTTAGGGTTTAGGGTTGAGGGTTTTAGGGTTTCCACGTTTAGGGTTTAGGGTTCTGCATCAGCGAAAGTGTTCGTTTTGTGTTGGTCCGGCGGAAAACATCTTTGTTTGTGTCTGTGTCAGTGAATGTAAGCGTGGAGATATTGAGGGGAGGGTCCGCGTGCTGTGGCCCGCAGAGGCGTGCCGAAGGTTCGCGGAAGCCTTTTCAAGTTGCACAGGACACCCCCTAAACCCTAAACCCTAAACCCTAAACCCTAAACCCTAAACCCTAAACCCTAAAGCCTAAAGCCTAAACCCTAAACCCTAAACCCTAAACCCTAAACCCTAAACCCTAAACCCTCTGCCCTTAAAGGGGCTTCCTGCTTAACAAAAGCCGGTAGCCTTTGTTGCGACCTGAGGCGGCACCATTTATCATGTGCAGGCCATAAAAGGGATTCAAGCTCCAAGACCGGTTTGATGCTGGAACGACGGTTCGCAGGGGGCAAGAAGGAGCCTGGCTCCAATATGCGCCCTTCTTCTTGTTATGGCGGGCATTAAACAGAAACCATGCCGCAAAACTCCAGACAGACTCGTCGCGGAAGTGGAAGCTCTTCTCTACACATCCTCAGGACTTGCTGCTCCTTCTCTAATTAACCTGGTCCCTTGAAAAGTGGCATTTTGCTCCCTTTTCTTGTTGGGTTCCCGCATTAAACCCGGATGGTAGAAAAAGGGTACCCGTATTATTTCGGGGCTACTGGGGAACCTACCGCTGATGATACAAATCCTGCATTACCCATAAGAAGGAATATACCATAATTCCCATAGTTTAGGGCCCTTAAGGTAATGCAGGATAAATCATCAACCCTAAAACCTAAACCTCAAAGCCCTGTAGATCCCTTAAAGGAACCCCTTACAGGTACCCCCTATAGATCCCTTTAAAGGAACCCTAGGATTTATGACCTTTCCGTGCTGAGAATCCCTCCCTTGTCGAAAGCCTGGGGGACGTGCAGGGTTTGATGCGCGCGTGACGTGTAGCTAGGTACAATGGAGTCTCCGCAAGTTAGGGGTACCTTATTTTGGGGCTCTGATAACAAGGGTCCTGCTATTTAGGGTACTATGTTAGGTTCCCCTATTTTCGGAAACTCCCACATGCGAAAGGGCGTGCTGCGTTTTTCCGCGATGGGAGAGAGCTAGAATATGCCGTCATGGGCCTTGCGGTTTGACCATGCTCAAGTGACACCCTAAACCCTAAACCCTACTGTAAACCCTAAACCCTAAACCCTGAACCCATGGTTTTTGATTCCAGGTGGGTGGACCTGCTGGGAGTGTACGACTTGGAGGGCGTGGCCATCTCCTGGGGCGAGCTGAGCCCGGCGATACTTCAAAGCAGCCACAATGCCCACGACTGGACGGATGTTGCCTCTGTGTCAGCTGCAGCCCGGATTCTTGGTTGGCTTTAGGGTTTAGGGTTTAGGGGTTTAGGGTTTAGGGTTTAGGATTTGTCGTTAAGCTGCAGCTTATTTGACGCTGATTTTCGGTATGTCTGCCAATCTAGGACAGTGACGCAACCCCAATTAGGGTCCCTTCTAGGGTACTTATCAGTCTACTTACTACCTGCTTACTAAGTCCCCCGACCCTGCAAGTGCCAATCCAGGACAGTCACGTTCTTCGACCCGCCAGTTGGAGCGAAGTGGCTTCGAGTGACCTGCCAGGTGGCCGGCCAGATGTAATCCAACACCATAAGGGATCTTAGTAAGGTTCTACAGTATAAGGGCCTTAATAATTAGAATAGGGAAGGAAGCGACGTCAGACATAGACTTGCAGGTGAGCTGCAGCATCCGCGAGCTGAATGTTCACGGTCACGTGCAGCAGGCAGGAACCAACTCTGCTTGAAGTAACACAGGGGCCTGAATAATTACCAACATCATTTTTTGGGGCTCCTGATAATTATCGTATAATGGGCTCCAAAACCCTACTCTAATTATTCAGGCCCCTTTATTATAGTACCCTATTATAGATCCCTTACAGAACCTTTTCAAGGATCCCTTTAAAGGGACCCCTATTCTAATTATTAAGGCCCCCGTATTATTCCTCCTAATGTTCCTTGGATTTCCTCAAATGTGCTGCGACTGACACAGACCCTGCCACTCAAAGCCAGGCCAACAGAAAGTCGGCAGTTGGCGGCCCATGCCGCCGCTGATATGCATATGTTACACAATGTATAAGATATAATCTATAGCTATATAAAATGTAAAATACTGTAAATTATATATATAATATACGGCACACAAGAAATATGTAAGGATACATAATAGACAATATGTGAAAAGGCAGCAATATATATATATATATATATATATAGTCTATAATGTGTACTATATAACATCTAGTATAATATATATGTATATATATTTCAATACACCTGTATATTTACATAGACTTACTATACAGTGTATATATAAATATATGTAACACTTTGTATGTATAATTTGAAAAACTACACTTTGTTCTTTTTGTGTAATGCAATTTAGGATATATGCGATGCCAGATATATGTGTACATATACATAATTTCATATTGCATCTATAATATGCGAGATGTATTACAGAATATACAGCAGATAATATGTAATCTATGATAAATATACACATATTTGCATATGCACATATTCGTCAAGAATGAGTACATAATATATAAACATGAGATACACAACCTTAGAAATATTTAACACATTTTTTGGATTATAGGATACAGCACGTTATATATATGTGTATATATATATATATACATATATATATATAATGTAATATCAAGCATAATGTAATTCAATATTGCACAATCTAATATATACAGAGATATAATATTCAATCTTTGATATTTATATGAGAGTTTACAGATTTATGATATAACATGTTGTATCTTATAAACAGCCTGTAGTATCTTGCATATGCATGTCTCGGTTATACATACGTATGTATGTAACACAAATTTATATACCTATTTTGTAGTTAGATTATATATATATATATATGTATAGCATATACTCATATGTCAATATGTGTGTATATATGTATGTATGTATATATATATATATATATGTATGTATAAGGCTCACAGCGACTCGAGTCTGAAAGTGTGGTTGCCCGGGTGTGGGCGTGTGTTCGGGGCTCCTCTTGGGCGCTTTCTGGGGGTGCTGTTGTGCTGTTGAGGGTTGCTTCAATGGAAGCTCGTGCGACCGCCCATGGCTGACCGTGCTGTGCACAGCACCAAGAGCTCCAACAACATGCCTGCAGCCACAGCTCAAGGTTGGATCCGATGTATCTGTGTGATTTTTCTGACCTTGCTACCATACAGGTCTCAGTCCAGCTGGAAAACTGTCTGCACCCTGTTCGATGCGATACCCAAGAGCACTCTGTCCCACAGTGCTGGCCTGCAGCCCCCAGGTTCACTCAGGGCTACACATGGAAAGGACAGCCGCATTCCAGGTGAGTTGATACCTCTCTGTTTTCTGGCTGATTGGCATCCCCCCACTGCAGGTCAGGGAAACCGCGTGATGAGAAGGATGCCTGCTTCAGGTGGGTGCTGGCATCAGGCGAATCATTCTGCTCTGCTTTGGCCTCCATTTCAGACTACGCTCAGGCTTAAGCTTCAGCCGTTGGCGAAGTACATGTTTACCTTGGAGAGACAGAATAATACCTTTCTGCCGCCGACGCCGATGGTGCCAAACAACCCTTATGACTACCCGCGCAAGCCTTTTCCTCAGGTGACACCCATTAGAAAACAACCCGCTTGGTTGGGTCAGTCGACAGGTCGCTGGCACGACACATTGACCTGGAGACCATGGACTGACCTTATAGCCCGGAAACTTGAAGCTGCCAGGTTTGACACATATCAGCTCCACCGGGGCAAACAAGTGCTTGAATCGATGCCGGTCTTTGCGTCCCTTGCAGCACTTCTTCCAGCCGGTCCTTATCAGGTTTGTGACCTCTCAAGGGCTAGAGGTAGGTGCGAGCAGATTCCTCTGCCTATTCTACAGGGCCTGGCACCCATTCCTTGTCCCAAGCCAGCACCGCCTATGCATTACCTATGCTGCTGGCCCAGGCTAGAGGAGTCCTCGCCTGAAGCCTGGCCCCCAGTCATTGCCTCCATTTGGCACCTCTTCCTCATACTGCCTCTTGGCAGGCTGGAGGAGTCCTCGCCTGCTGCCTGGAGCCTGGCCATGCCGCTCTCCTATTTAGCCGCTCTGCCACTGTCGTTGGCCTGTCAGGTCCTACATTCCTGGGATACGCCCTTCACGTCCATGCCTCAATGCACTACCGGTGTTATACGGACCTTTATAGGACAATCCAGGCCAGACTTATTTTGCTCTGTTGGCATGGCCTGTCGACCCCAGCACTTGGCTCAGTCTTTCTTTTGGGTACACCCTTCCTTGCCTTGGCCTGCTGTCCCTGCCATAGTGGGACCTCTGTTGCCACTAGAGGGCCCTGAGCTATGCCAAAGCGGAAGAACGTGGACAAGACGGTGGCAGTTGCTAAGGCCAAGAGCCGCAGGAGGCATCACAGTCCGCCTTGCTCCTCAAGTGACGACAGTTCTGAGACAGCGGTGGCATCAACAGCGACAGGGTCAGGACTCCTGCATGTTGCTAGTCTCCCGGCTGGACCTCCACCGCCGCGGCAGTCAACCTACCGCCGGCGGGACTACCCGGGCCACGGCCGGTCTTGCCCTCGAATGGACCACCCGCAGGACCGCCGCCACCGACACCAGCTACCATGGCGATGCCTCGTCCTCCTGGGGTTACACCGGCAAGTGCAAAGGCGGGTCTGGCTCCGAGTATCTCACCTGGCTCTGCTATCACATCGGCCTCCATGTCGCCAATGGTACCTCCTGTCTCGAGCACCGTCTCTGCCAGCAACCAGGCCAAGGCCAGACCATCGGGGCCGAGTGGACACATTACTGTGCCAGTTCCGCCTGTACATGTGCAGTACTGCATCACAATTTCGGCGCGGCCAGCCACGTCTCCTGCCGTACATACGGATGCCAGCACCGGCACAAGCACCGGGTAGATCTTTGATTCAGCCGGCTCACTTGTTGGAGTATAATGCGACACTTGCCGCCATCACGCGGCATGCGAGCATCATGCCTGACATGCTGTCTTTATGGTCCTTTCCGCGACTGCACTGCCTCACTCAGGTCAGCTGGGCACGAACTTCCTCTGTCTCGTTCTCTGCTCAGTCACTGCAGGACGATCTGGCTGAGCCAGGCACCTGTGTTGCACAGCTGTATTGCCTCAAGCTACGGACACTGTGTCCTGATCAGCAGCCACCATTCTCATGGCAGCGACTTCATCGGCTGAAGAGACCCAAGCTTTCGACCGTGAGCCACAACAGGCGGCGCCGACTACGCCTACTATCACGGTTGTCACTAGCCCCCCGCCTATCAGGCGTCGAAGCAGAAGTCCACGACCATTGGCAACCCTGGCGACTGAGGACCTGCAGGTGTCAACAACATCCGACCTTGGAGACCCGTGCGAGCCCTCTTCATCCTATCGTATTGCTGCCTCAGTACCGCCTGACACCAGCGTCTACATCAACATACGCCTTCGGCTGGTCCGAGGGAACTGTTTGTCAGTCGCAGCTACCATTACGGAATGCTCTGAGACTGATGCACTGTAGCTCACATGCGCGACTGACCCACTGGTGGCACCGATGCGACAAAGTGTCTTTGTTCGCCTGCTTCCGTGGCTCCCTTCATCTCTCTGCATCATGTGCTAATGCATTGTGTCAAACTGCTTCCTGTGCACTTAGGTCTGGACCATTGGACCTCCACTGTGACCTTGGCACAGGTTCGCCTGTGCAACCTGACGCTCTTGATGCTGAGGATCACCACTCCTGCTCCTCAGAGTGTGCATGCTGGACTGCTGCCATGTCTCATTATTTGTCCTCCATAGACGGCTCTCAGCTCCTGCTCTCAGGCCATAGTCAGCTGTTACCTCAGCAAACCAGACTCAGATACGGAATCCGAGGGCACCTTGGTTTACGCTGCAGAGGTGGCGGAACGCGCTTTTAAAGTGTGGAAGTCTGAGGTATCCATGGTTGGTTCCGGCACACAGGAAGTGCCATCAACAGGTCTCAAACGTGCATCTCGAAGTCGCAGTCCACACCGCACCTCCGCGAGATCAGCTGTGCAGGACCCTGACCGCTCTACTGAGCTCCCTCCTGCCAACCAATCTGCTCAGATTGATCCTGCTACTGCTCCACCAGTGTCCAATATTCGGATTCACCTGGTTATTCGGACTGCTGAGACATGACCTCGACCAGCAGCTCCCACGGGCCCGATCTCTGACTGGCACTACTTGTTGTGAGCGACCAAAATTCTGCCTGTTAGTGCTGATGTTTGGCCCTTGCTGCACAACACATGCTGCTCTGTCTCTTGGTAGTCTCCTCCACTCTTCCAATTGCAGGTACGCGCCAAGCTTCTCTGATTGCCTCACGTCGATTGAATCGACGGCGCTGGGCTCAGCTCTGCTATGCATGTGCCCTGTGGACCCAGTCGATCATTCCATATATTGGTCCTGCAGCAGCTGCCCTGCTCACCTTTCCACTGTCTGCTTCGGCTCAAAGAAGGTGCTGCCCGCCCGGGACAGATTTTTCATTATAAGGGACGCGAGCAACGGGTCTTGCGTCAATCCCAACGTCCGGGGCAGCTCAACCGGGCCGAAACCATCACTGTACCGTCAGAACCCTCCGAAGCTGACGAGGACGGCCCTGACAGGGATCAGGACGAGGCCTCTGAACCATCTACCTCGGCCTGCAGACTTACGGACACCGAAGTACGCCTCTTGAGCTACATCACTTGGAGTACCTCTACTCCGC